CAGGGCCGCTCAAAGAGTCTGTCAATGGCTATCCAGTCTTCAAGTCGTGAGTCGTTGAAGAACTGTTCATAAGGGGTTCCAAACATGTAGTACAGGATTGGAAGGCCAACCACAAGGTGGCCGTGGCGCTCCCGGTTCTGCTTGCATTCCTCGATGTACGCATCCCATAGCTTTTCTCTGGCCTCTTTCTTGGCGCGGTCTTTTTCGGTCTCTTCTTCGACCGGTTCTTGCTCAGGCTCCACAGCAGGCTGGACGTCTGACCGTTGGCTAACTTCAGGATCTGGTTCCTCAACTAGTTGGTCTGGTGAAATGTCCTCTCCGGCTTGGACGTCGCTTTGGCCCTGAGTCTCCTCCTGTCGCATGCGTTAGCACCTGGTTCTTCCATCTTCCCCCCCTTCTCCGACTTGGCATTCGCGCCTGCCGTTGCCACCTGGGGGTACGTGAGACAAGTCTTACCACATGGTCCGACGACGCGGACGCGTCACTCCTACTTGAAGACCCAGGCTCCTCGTCAAGAGCACTCTCTTGGTGCTGCTCGTCCAAGGTCTGCGGCTGACGCTCCCAAGTCCCATCACCGCACTCGGAGCTCGTGTCGCTACCTAGCCTCTTGCCATCACTCCACATGCATCGCAACTCTCGTTTCTTGGCCATGGCCATCTCTCTGAGGAACAGCATGGCGCGGCTGCTGTCCTCGGACTCGTCGCCGATCCAAGCGACCACGCGTTCTGCGGTGCGGTAAATTTCCCGCATGCGAGCTACCTGGTGATTTCGCTCCCCCAGATCGGATTGGTTGATGCTTGTTGTGGTGTTTATCAGTTTTGCTTGCACCATACCTGAGGTGGTAGCGACCGACGAAGCGACTCGGAATCGACATGGAAACAATAGACTCGAAGAGAGTAGTAGGAACGGCCTACCATATCCAATCTATCCACATTGTCCGCGGCGACTCGACGGTTCGCAGCTGGCGGAGGGCCTTTTCGAGCTCAGGGGTAATCCCGAAAGGATGACCGTTGAGTGAGATCTCGACGTGGCTATCTACGTCCAGAGCAGCTCCCCAAGCGTAGGAGAGAGCCTCATATTTCGGGGCGTCATTGAGTGGATGTGAGGATATGATACATTGAATAGGCGAATCGCGTGGCCCAGGTTGAAGATCGACCAGACGGAACCAGCCATCGTTGAGCTTGTCCTCGGGTCCCGAGAGGGGGTAGGGCAGCCAACCTGGGCGAGACATGTCCAAGAAGGACAGGAACGCTGTGTAGTAGGTATTCTGAGGGCTTTGGAGATTCAACAATGATTCCTGTTAAGATTCTAGGGAGCGCTTTGGTTTGGCGTATTTGGTGATGTTGGGCCGTGAGGGTGAGGTGAGGGTGAACGCCCCGCCTCAGGGAGCAGCCTGGCTGCGCCTCTCACGATCTCGACCCATTCATCGCGCCTGCCAGTCTCCCAGTCCAGCCCTTGGCTGCAGAAAGGTCACCATGAATGGGGAAACTGGATTCTCCTCTCCTCAACTCCACCCTGCCCTCACCACATCACATCAAACTTACAGCTACAGTCTTGGAGTCTTCACGTCCAGATGCGCGCACATCATTCATGTGGTCATGAAACAATTAATATTTTTTTAACTGTACATAAAATCGTCAGGTCATCTCATCATCTAATTCTAGGGGGTATCTTGTCATCATATCGTCTACTCCGCTCGCCCTTCCCACGCCACCCATTCCTCAAGCTCATCTTCAACCACGATTCGTATATGCAGCTCGTAGATCCTGAGCATCTCTAGCAGTCCCTACTGATGGGCTTGCCGCTCTTCGTCGACCCCTTTCTCGCTGTGCCATCCTCTCTGCGAAGCTCAGCGGGGACACCGGGGAGACAGTCGCCGTCGGCTCCCGCAAAGCAGGATAGGTCTTCAGCTCTTGCCCAGGAGTCAGCGGTGACACTGGCATGGACCTGATAGCAGCTGGCACCTCGCGGGGGGCTGGTCGTCGCTCGTGCTCAAGGGTCGGTGGCGAAACCGGCTTGGGCCGAACAACAGATGGGATCTCACGCTGAGGGGAGGGGTCCGTCAATTCGTGTCCGAGGGCGCACCGATCAAGGCCAGGCTCAGCGGAACGTGGTCTTTGGGCGGCCGGGGCTCGAGTGTTGCTCTTGCAGAGCCCACCCAGGTCATGGGAGCTCCTCGTCTGTCGCATGCTGGGATCCCTCTTGAGTTGCACGGGATTCGCTCGTAGTGGGTCGAATGCCAGAGACGTTTCTCGCAGGCTGACCTCCGAGGATGATGGTGTCGAGGAGCGGCGAGAGTCTCCCAGCCTGGAGGCTGTTGCCTGCGGTCTTGTCACCACGATTTGGAAGTCTGGGGAGCTGTCTCCCCCCGAAGCAGGGCGGTCCGAGCCGCTCATCTCCTGCATCGACCGTCTTGATTCTTTCGACAACCGTTTGAGGTTCTTCTGCCGGAGTTTCTCGAGCATGGCGTCTGCTGGCAGCTCGAAGATGGAGTGCCATAAGCCGTGACCCCTCGCTGCTTCCGATGACTCGACGCTGGAGCGCCCACTGTCCGGAAGCAAGAGTAGCTCCCGATCCTCATTCGCGGTCGCTGAAGACTCGCTGTCGGAGGAGCCTCGGGAAAGAAGGCCTGCGCCCACCGAATTCTCGAGGGCAAGGCGTAGTCGGCTGGTAAATGTCGATGGCGTGGGCGATGGGGGCTTGGTTATGGGAGCTGCGGCGTACAGCTCTCCGGGCTCGGTCGTCTCTTGTACCATCCTGTGATAAAGTACGGGCATCGGTCTTGAAGCGGGGGTGTTCGCCCAAGTCTGCCATGCTGTCTTTTCTGCACTCGGCCCCGCAATCCTCGACGACGCCGGTCTTCTCAACCTTTGGAAGACGAGAAAGACCACAACGATGAGCAGTAAACTCGTGCCACCCAGTGCGGCGATGGCGGCGGGCTGAATGGTGTTGCGTTTGGTGTACGATATAGGCGACCGTGAACGCTCCAAGTCCAGTCGCAAGAGTCGTCAATGGGATGAGGAGGGCCAGCTCGGTTCTGCTGAAGAGCTGTTGTCGATGTCTTTGGCTGTGGTATGTGGCGCCTCCTTCAAGATCGTGTCGGTACATGTAGCCCTGACGTTGTGTGAACCCATGGTGAACCATCGTCTAATGGTATGCCGCGTCGAGTGCGGAGATGTCGAAGACGGTCAGTTTCTACCTCTTCCGAGTCTGGACGGCGGGTGCCGTGGGTCGACGAGATATATCAGCATCTTCAAGGTCCAAAGCTACCTAGGTCCCACAGCATCCACCATTCTCGCCGCTGCGTGGCGCGTTCCGCATCACGACATGCTGCAAATGCACTCCTGCCGTCCCCGACGACCACCACCGCTCTTTGCAGGCTGGACCATGTGGGTGCGCCCGTGCCAAGCCAGCTCCGCCTCGTGTCGGCGATGCGGCATCTTTGCGGGGCAGTTTGCGCCGTCGTAGGCCGGCCACTCAGCGCCCGCCCTGCCGCCGCGTCGCTGCTGCGCCCTCTTTTGCTGGGTCCTCGTCAGAACCCAACTGACCGGTTGCGCAAACACAAATCCATCTGATGGGTCGCCGCGATGTTTGAAGAGGTGGGTTCGGGTCGTCAACACCGCTTCCATATTGCTGCCACGGAAGCTTTTCGATGTTTTGTCCAGCGGCCTTCCTACCCGAGCAGTCTGCGCGAGAACGACGGACAGCCAGCCAATGGGGGCATGGAGGCGTTGAGCTGCAACCCCCCCCCACTCGTGATTCTCCCTTTGCCTGACAAACGATGTGATGGTGCTGGCGAAGTGCTGCAGTCACCATCCAAGGGCAATGCTGGTTGAGATCAACAAATGCTTGGTCAAGATTTCGGAGCAAAGAATCGCCTGCGTCTTTTTGGGTGAGGGCAAGAGGAGTCGAGTGGTGAGTCAACCACGTACAACGAGATTGGAAAGCAAAAGGTGTGTACCTTGGCTCCCATCATCGTTAAGTCGCCGCGTTCAAGTTACCAAGAAGACCGACATTCTAGAAAAGCTGCAGGCCATCAACCACAGCCCGCGCCGCCCTGTACGTCGTCGGGCATCCACCCATCCGGCCGTTTTATTGCTGGGGTTTCTTTGTGGCGTAGCACTCGTCTTCTGCTTGGTGGTCTCTGTCAAGTAGAGATTGCACTTCAGCCGTGGATGCTTGTTAGTATGCGATGTTGGAAAGCAATGGCTTACACTAACAGGCAAACCAGGATGGGATGTCGATGCGACTGTCATCCCACCCCTCCACTCACGGCGTCTCCTTTTCCACCTGCCTGGCTAGCTTGACTGGCTGGGATGTAACGCCTTCGTGGCAACGAAGGCTTGTGTCGGATTTGGAGTTTTCTTTGGCTGTCTGACATACAATCTAACCCTAATTTGTTTGTGATGTAGCGCGGGACTCTAGGGATACACCAGTATGTTTATTCGAGGCCCTAAGCTATCAACTAAACGCGCGGATCTGTACTGGCCAGGCCTTCTCAAGAAAGGGCGAGACCTTTCCCCAAGCAAGCGAGTGCCATCTGCCAGCACTGTAAGCCTCGAGTTCCGACTTCAAGGCCTCAATCGGCAGGTGCTTGGCCTTGGGAAACATCTCGAAAGTCTCGCGCTAACAAACAAACCAAGGCTAGCTTGTACTGGCTGCAAGACAGACAATGGCACCTGTCTAGCACAAATAACATCCATCCGACGTCAAGCCCTACGAGGTCGAGTTTGCAAAGAGAGTATAGCATTTTTGACACAAGGCAACGGTAAAGACTAACCAAGGACCCTAACCCGCATCCTCACCCTTTCTTGGCCTGAAGCTCAGCACAGGGGCTCCCTCCCCCCATTAGCTCCGCCATCATGCAAAGACTCGGCAGGGACCGGCACCACGCAGTGAAAAAGACCATACGAGCACACCTGCACACCAACCCATCCGTCTCCATTCCGGCCTCCACAAACACAATTTCCATTGATCATCGCCACCCGTCAAATCATCAAGGGCGTGTGGCTCAGTTGGTAGAGCGTTCGCTTAGCATATTCCAATATGCGAAAGGTCCTGGGTTCGATTCCTAGCTCGTCCATCCATCGTCGGCGCCAGTAGTCTAGTGGTTAGGACTCAACCCTTCCAAGGTTGGGGGAGGGGTTCGATTCCCTTCCGGCGCAGAACCCCAACTCCCATCTTGGGAGTGTTGGCTTTTTGCCCCATCGTGGGCAGCGGTGAGATTCCCGGCTAGTGTAAAGAAACTGTCGGACAGCCCAGAGTGTTTTCCGGACAGCTCAGAGTGTTTGTCGAACATGACGAAGGCTCGTTGGATCCGTTCGGCCCCTTCGCTAGCTTCCATGACCCATTTCTTGCCAGATTCATAGTCCTGCAAGGGTTGCCCGAGTTCTTCGTCATGCAGGGTGGTGTCCGAGCTCTCCGTTTCGGCCACAAGCGTTGACGCATCGCTGGTCGGAACAATAGGCCCTCGTGGCGCGAGGGGGGTACAGGTGAGGGCATCTTGCCTTCTCTGCTCGGGGGAAATGTCTCCACTGTACCCACTTGTCAAAGCCGGGTCTAACGTATCGGTAAAAATGTCCAGCATAACCGTGTTGCTTCCGATGTCCATGGCTATGTCGCCAGGAGGCCCAATGGTTTGGGGGTAGCCGCCACTCTGACCCAGTTGCACTGCTTCAAGTTCACTTGTGTCGTGGGCAGGCTTTGGGGTGTTGCGTGTAGGCCTGAGGGCGTGATGGGGAACCGTCGCTACAGACCCGGAGCCAGGACCGACACGCCATCCTAGGGAGGTTTATGTTAGCGCCTAGGTGGACTAGATTAGACGGGTTGATCTTAAAAAACATACCCTCCATGATACTGGCATCCACTTCCGGAAATCCCAAGCTCAGGTTCATATTCCGCCAGTTTTGGAGAAGGATATCAGATCTTATGCACCCGCGATAAATCTTTGCCTTTGTCTTCTTGAACCCCCGGAACCCCTCGTCTTGGCTCTCTGACAGGATCCTGTTGTCATCAGGCCAGTTGGTTTCGACGCATGTTGCCTCGTCCCTCTGTTTCTGCTCCTCATGCCGTTGTTTCTGCTCCTGAAGTTCCTTTTCGCTAGCATCTTTGCGGAAGGAAACCTTGCATTTGGGGCAATAGGGTCTCCGGGAATGAGAGCGCTTTATGTGTTCGCTGATGACCATCAGCAATGGTTTTTCTCTTTGGAATAGATGTGGCACTCACTTAAGCTTGTCGCAGCTGGACCATGTCTTTCCCGTGCATGGAAGCGGTTTATCGGTCGGCGAAGCATGGAAAGAGACGGGACAGGGAAATGCCCATTTCTCTTTGCTTGTCGCTGACCTCGTGGGCATTTGGAATGATGGCACCGGACTACTGTCTCACGTTTTCAGGGAAAGATGTCGACAATAGGTTGTTGATCCTCCTGTTGGAGCGCGCCGTGTAGTACGATTCCGGCCCACCCAGCAGCTTCCGGCGGTCGCTGGTGATGATGGAAGCGTAGGCAGTGGTATTGTTCTCGGGATCGTTGGCCAGGAAGCGGAGTGTCAGGTAGTTTGGATGGGGCCTTGGCTGGGGGCTGCTCGAGGCGTCTCGGCGAGCACACACGAGCTGTGGCAGCTCCTGTCGGAAGGTGAAATGAGTGGAAGATGTCTGGGCCTAGGGCAAATGGTTAGACCAATGGTGAACTGACCAGAGCTACGACAATCTACAAAAAGGATCCTGGAGATGACACTTACCCTGAAGTCACCAGCAACAGCGGTGCCGAATGTCGACATGGAGTTGGCTGGCGGCAGCGGAGCGAGAGCAACGAAGAGTCGAGCTGGGGACGGTCTGTCGAGCCTTGGGTGACAGGGCGATGGAGTTGAACGAAGGCACTCCTGTAGATGGAAACGGCGGTGTGTTTTCTGAGGGCGGAAAGGTAGCGACGAAACATCGCAGCCGAATGCTCGCTCGTCTTGGTTAGGTGGGCGAAACATCGCGACATTTTGTCAATCGTCACCGTGGCGGCGTGATACATCGCGGCGACGTGCTAACCCCACCCAGGCGCCCTCCTCCATGGCCCCCCGATGTCGCCCGTCTTCTCAACCGGGCCCCGGAGAGCCATTAGAGGCTTGCCGTTCCTACCCCTGCCGTTCGGCGCCTGCCCCATGGTAGTGATCGCCCTGTTTCCATTCCCTGTCTATTATTGGCTGAAGCTTCCCTCCCCGTTACCAAAACAGCACTTTCGAGAACAGAACGTCGAGTACCTACAACCTAGAAGCACCCGATAAGATTGCCATTCAGGGCGATAAGTAGGGGGGGTCACATTTCAACAATCAACCCTCTCCTATCCATCGTCAACAATGGAACCAAGAGACTATGATGACATGGTTAAACAATCCGATCTATTTTAAAATCATATCTCTCCAAACTTTCTCTGCTTCGAAAGCAAAGGGAACCTGCCGGCCCTGCGAACTTGTGCCCGAACCCGCCCCCGACAGGACTCATCGCCCGCGCAACTATGTCTCGACGACATTGAACCATCGCTGCCACGTCGCCAAGCCCCGACGCTACGCGATACACCGGACATCGAGCGAAACACCGCGATAGCTGTTCTAGCGCCATGGTGCCCAATAATCCTCTGACCAAATGACGGTCAGATCCCATTGTTCTCTCGTAGTCCTGCTCCCACCACTGCCGCCCACCTCGTCACCGTCAACATCGTCGCCGTCAATTTTGTCGCCGTTAACAACCACAATCATTGCCAAACCCCAGATCCATTGCAATTCACTAATATGTCTACCCCGGCATCGAGGATTGACCAGGCGGACCGCCCTTCGCAGGAATCAGGCGGCATTGAGCTGCCTTCCATCCCGGGCGTCTCGGCGGTTGCCTCTCGGTCTACCCCCCCCATGCCGGCCGTGGTCCGCGGCGCCTACCAAGTTGGTCGCAACATCTATCACTACCCCCAGCCCGGCATTTTTGCCAACCAGACCAATGCGGCCGTCATGAGCGGCGTCCGCACCACGTTCAAGGCTGCTCAGGCTGAGGCGAGCACTTGGGGCTTCCGCCTGTCTCAGCGAGCGTTTCGCAAGCTACTGGTCGAAGAAGCTTCCATCTCTGTCGTAGGCTCTCGCAATGCAATACCCTCCCGTCCTCTTTCATTCGCTAATATATCAACGCGTTCCCACAGCCCGGCATTGACGTGGAAAGGAGCTTCTCGACCACACGCATCGTCCCACTCAAGTCCGTTCTACGACCCGAGCTGACCACGCTCTTCCATGGGCTGGACGTCATTGGTGGCAACGACAACTTTGCGGAACACTTTCCTGATGTCGTGACCAGCTCGCCGGTTGTCCATGTCTTAGTCGTGACCTCGGCGCTCAAGAAGACTGTGGTCGGTTGGACTTGCTTTCTGCTGTCGATTATCTGTCTGGCCATCTGCGTGGGGGTTGGTTTTGCAACCAAGGACTGGTTCAAAGCGGCTGGTGTGGCTGGTATGTCGCCCCATCAAGACACCCGACCGCAGATTGACTGACTATTTCTGACCAGGCGCCCTTTGGACTTTGGGCAACCTGCTGCTGGGAGCCTTTGTATATATGGGCAAGCCTTAGGAACGCTGGGCCACTTAAATTTGCTACCGTGTGCGACTGGGATTCTGCGGGATGTTGAGATTGGTCCCTCGCGGCATCCCTCAGCGCACTAGTATACCGAGGTTACAGATATGATAGATGAGATGCAGTCACATGGCCGAGTCTTTGCAGCGTCGAATTTGTCCTTACCTTACCTACTCAGAGAGATCTCGCGCTTAATATATTTGCTGTACGAAGCACCTAGCACATGACCAAACCCGTACGAAATGAGGTCGTACGCGCATCGTGTAGCCTCGCATAACATTTACCGGTGGCAATTAATACTGGAGGCTCTGCATGCTGTGTGACAGGCCAAACAAGATTCATGCTGCCAGACAAGCCCATGCGTAAATGGACTTCACTTTCAGAGTTAACTGGTGACGTCGGGGGCACCGGACACCTACAACTATTAATATTTGCAAGGGTTTCCTCTCGTCAGTAAATTTGCTTGTCAAATGGCCCATATTGTTAATCGACGGTGTGTGCCGCTTTCTGCCCAGCCCAGTGCTGTAGGTGTCAATCCGTCGTATAGGGCGAGCGAATGCCCGGCAGCACATTGACATCGATTGACATGCGGATATGTTTCTTGCTGCATGCACAATGCAGATAGAAATTGGAGTTTGTGCGAGGACATACATGTACCTTGACGTCGAGGGGAAGTGCACGTGCCACATGGTGATTTGGGCTCAGGGGTTTGTTTACTTTAATTTGTGGCAGGTGCCGCCGAAGCGGTGAAACACCAAGAACCGGCCCTCCTCCATAGGGTATGCTGCAATAATTTTGGCGGCGGTAGTTATTGCGATGTGCGGGCGTCGCGGCGGTTAGGCTAACTAATTGGGGCTGCTCAGGGACAAAGAAAACACGTCCTGAGATGGGTTGGAGACAACATAGACTACCTTTCTGGTCATCCTGTCAATCAGCCTACAGTCCAGGGGCTCCCTAGAAGGCGAAAGCTGGTTGTGTGCCTTAATTGGAATATCGGCGCTTATCCACTGATACTAGTTAGGTGGGTGGTTCGGGTCTTGGATGTTTTTTTTTGAGCTTTTCTCTATCTGCGACCTTTCGGGCAAGCGTTAATTCTTTTATATTGTCGCCACCACCCTAATTCCATTTCCCTCTCAACTATTCAAGCTTTCTCCCCAACCATTCTCTCTGCCACACCGTCGCCGAGGCTGGCTTAAGCACACGATGGACAATTTCGCAGGTCCTGCCGGCCTGGCTGGATAGAATCCGCCTGCCGTACTTCGCCGCCTTTTTGTCCAACGCGAGCCATTTGCGCGCAGCGCCACATCGGGCAAAGAGGCTATCGTCGACAACGTCACTGTTTTCGCCCGCCTCGTCTTTTGGCATAAAAAATCAGAACAGGGCCAAGGATGCGCAAGATCATGACCGCGTCGCTCTGGCTGGACTTTGAGGGTATTGGCAGACTGGCATACCCGCTGGTAGGAACTGTCAGTGCTCTTGTTGTGTCAAGAGATCGGTATCTCGCGCAGACAGGCTAGACTCACCGGTCCAAGTGCTGGGAGCCGTGGCCTCAGATCGCCACAAAGCAA